AAGACTAACAGTCGTAGGTATGACACCCAGAAGCAGACACATGATAGGCTTTGTAGTTTCAGTGCCGAGGTTGCCTACTCCTGACATAGGCAATCGTCTTCATGGTTTCTGTCCACTAGGTGGCGATGTGTCGCTGTACTCCGGTATGTTTTGGAAGTTTTGTTTCAATAAATCGAATGTTTTCTTTTTTTATTTATTTTTTACTTTGCTGTCCTGTGCGCGTCTCATGTGATCAGCAAAGACCTAAAATCTAGGAAGGACGGCAGCTTATAACGTCGGATCCTCCGGTGTGAATAGCCGGCAGTGTGTATTGTCCTCCTAGAGCAGGGGGTAGCCAGACTCCGGCCCTCCAGCTGTGGTGGAACTACCAATCCCATGAGGCAATGCAAGACTCCGACAGCCACAGACGTGGCTCCCGGAGAGAGATGCATCGTGGGGTTTGTAGTTTCACCCACAGCTGGAGGGCCGGAGTTTGGCTACCCCTGTCCTAGAGTTACACAACGTCGCTATCCCACCGATATACATCCAGGATCAGAGCGGCGTTCCCACACTGTGTGATCTGAGCCAGACGTAGACCCGCCCACAATCATTGGTTGGAGATTATCATATCCGCTGAGGATCCCAATTCATGTTCATCATGTGATCTGAGCCAGACCTAGACCCGCCCACAATCATTGGTTGGAGATTATCATATCCGCTGAGGATCCCAATTCATGTTCATCATGTGATCTGAGCCAGACGTAAGTGGTCAAATATATCACCAACGCGCCGAGGTCAAATCTTCAGAAAGCGATCGTCGCGCGCGCATCTTGTCACATTGCAACGGTTCAGGGTCCCTTCCTCAGGCATGGATCCTGAGTGGCCCCTAAACGTTGCAATGAATCCCGGCCAGGGTCACTATCTGCAAGGAGTTTGCATGTTCTCCCTGTGCTTGCGTGTGTTTCCTCCCACACTCCAAAGACATGCTGATAGGTTGATTGGCTCCTGTCTAAGTTGGCGCTCTGTGTGTGCCTGTGAGATAGGGACCTTAGACCCCGTTCACATGTAGCGACATACCTTTGCAGCGGCCGGGATAGCGCGACTTTCGGGGGCGACGGTAGCGCGACCTTCTCCGTCGGGCTCCATAGAAATAAAACAAAATCGCGCAAAATCCGCCGAAAAAAGGGTCCGGTAGAAGCGACTTGCGACCGCGACATGGAGTTAAGACAGCTCTATTGAATAGCATTGGCCGGCGACTTCTCGCGATATCGCGCGATAAGTCGCTACATGTGAACGGGGCCTGAGATTGTAAGCTCCTTGAGGGCGGGGACTGATGTGAATGTGCAACTATGTAAAGTGCTGCGTAAATTGTCGGCGCTCTATAAATACCTGTAATGAATAATGTGACAGGATGCGCGCGCGTCAATAAAATGATCGCTTTCGGAAGATTTGACCTCGGCGTGCTGGTGGTATGATTTACTACTTGAATCTGAAGCGGTCACTACACCACCCACCGCAAGGGGCGAACCAGTAAGGAGCGCTCTGAGGATTCTCCTGTATCTAAGCCAGAAGTAGACCCGCCCACATTCAGTCATATCAGCTGAGGAGGCCAATTAACGTTCATCATGTGATCTGAGGTTACCGATGTTTGCATTGGCTCAAGCTCTGTGTTGTTCCCAGTGAGATCCCCTCCCCCTCCGTAGGTGACATTGTATTATCATAGAGCGCAATACCAATGTAAATGGTTACAACCCCGTGTGTGTTGTAAAGTAGTCACCGCTCCAAGCTCCGCCCCCTCCGGGATGGACTACAATCTCAGGTTTAGTTTACTCATTTGTATTGACATTGTAGTCCATCCCGGGGGGGGGGAAGCTTGGAGTGGTGACTACTTTATAACACACACAGGGACCATGGGGAACAGACGTAGCCCCCCTCAGGAAGGAAGGACAGTGTCAGAGATGATTGGAGGATCTACATCCAATGCTACACAAATAAGATACATTGTTGTTATTAGTTCGGGGACTTGGAGGGATTTTTTAGGATGTAACTCCGGAGTTTCGTGTCGCTTTATTTCATGTCGCCGTACATTGCACACTGACGACCTTCCCCGTGTAAGTGATTGAAATACCACAGCAGCATGTAGAAGCCGCACACGTTCTCTATATACCCCGTGTTGTGTGCAGGGCCGGATTTACTTTCCCTGCCGCCCCAATGCCAGGTTCTGCAATACCCCGTGGAGAATGGCGGCGGGGTTAGTTTAAATTTATTTTACTGTTTTCTTTTTTTTACTTTTTTATCACTTTTTATTTAATTATTTCTTCTTATTTTTTATGTATTGTTTTGTTATCAATTTCATTTTTTTTAGTTTTATATTAATCACCTTTTTTATTTTTTTTATTTCATATTATTATTTTTTAATTTTTCATTTATTGAATTTTTTTTTTCAATCAATTTTTTCACCTAACTTTATTGCTATCACACAGGAGATAACAATCCCCTGTGTGATCGCAATTGGAGGTGACAGGTTCTCTTTATTGACCCTGTCACCTCCAATACAGGAGTTCTAGCACAGCACGGTGCTGGAACTCCTGTGACAGGTGAGAGAGGAAGAGCGCAGCACAGCACAGCGCAGCACAGCTCTCCCCTCTCACTGTGTACACGGAGCGCCAGGGTTACTTTTAACCCTCTCCAGTGAGGAGAGACTCGACGGCGGAGGACGGAACCAGAGGAGAGAGGTAAGTGCAGGGGGGAGGGGAGGGGAGGGGAGGACGGACCGGCCGGGTGCAGACTTTTTACATGTAAACGAACAATCGATTTCCCTCACTCTACATTTAGCTCGGCTTGTACAAAGCAGGACTGAATGTAGAGAAGGCAACTTACCGCCCGGCGCCCGATACTTCCCCACAAGGACACCGCTGCCGCCCCGAGGCCTTGTGGGAAATCCGGGCCTGCGTGTGTATTTTGTTGTCACGATTTGCTGCACAGGAAGTAAAAATTTGAATGTGAAATGCAGCAAATGTCTCTTCATCAAAAAAGTTTATGTGCTCCGATCTTCAAATATATGTTAAAGCTCCACTCGGGGGGGGCGGCGGCGGCGGGCCCAGACACAAAGTACCCTCACAGTGGGGCCCCCCCCGCACTGCAATGGTTAAATGCTCATTAAAGCAGAAGTGTTTTTATTGACCCTTTCAGTGGGGGGCTATCAGTGGCATCGCAAGGGGTAAGAGCTCATTTTGTGTCTAGTACAGGGGGTAGGCAACCTCAGCTCTCCAGCTGTACCGAAACTACAAATCCCATAAGGCATCGCCAGCCACATGCATGACTTCCAGAGTCAGAAGCATGATGGGATTTGTAGTTTCAGCACCGCTGGAGCGCCAAGGTGGCCTACCCCTGGTCTAGGGTCTAAAACAGAGTTAGGCAAACTCCGGTCCTCCATCTGTAGTGAAAGTATAAATCCTTGGTGCATTTTTCTCTGGAGCTTATGCCTGGGGGCAGTCGGAATCTTGCAATGCCTCATGGGACTTGTAGTTCTACAACAGCAGGAGCGCCGAGGTTTCCTATCGCTGGATTGCAGGTCGGTACACCTAGTATGAATAGATAGAAGATAAGACCATAGAAGATGGGAAGACGCAGAGATTCTGAAGGTCTTTATTATACACGTAATACAAATAAGCGGTAAAGTTCTGGATTCCGTGGGTGAGATCTGATTGGTTCATAGAAATGAAAAGTGAAATCATTTGTTTTACTGTCAGTGCTCCTCAATCTGCAGGACACGGAGCCAACCAGTTGTGCCGCAATGCTAAACATTAAACATGCAGATAGGAGTAAGGATCAGAGAGCTGAACTCATTGCGTGCTGCTTATCCTTTCCCTGTCCAGTCACAGGCTGGGGGCGGGTCCATGACGGCCTAATCTCAGAGGAAGCGGGTTGAATAAGGCCTCATTCACACCAGACCGGGCCGATTCTGGCCAGAACGCACCGCATCTCATTGCGGCCGGCACACTATGTTGTGGGGCAGGAGGGGGGGCCGTGGCGGTCCATTGAATGAATGGCACCCTAGCCACGGCCCTTCGGCCACAGGGGAATACATGGCATATTATGCCTGCGGTCCGGTCCGAACAAAATGCTGCAAGCACTATTTTGTTCGGACCAGACCGCAGGCATAATGTGCCTTGCGTTCCCGTGCGGCCGATCGCATTGCGGCGCGAGGGCGTGGCTACGGTGACATACACTTCAATGGACTGCCACGCCCCCTCCTGCCACACAACATACTGAGCCGGCTGCGTTCGGGCCGGAACGCACTGCGTCTGGTGTGACTGAGGCCTAATGCTGGATGTCAGACTGAGGACATCTAGTGGTACAAACGAAGCATTGCAGGGGCGTCTCTGGATCGAAGGGGAATATGGCAGTAAAAGCGGCTCGTGTTATTTTATCTTTAACGGGATATTCATTTCTGTCTTGATATTCTTGGCTGGAGGTTCTGCATTTGGTGTTCGCAAATTTCTGGAAAGATACACTGAACAAAAATGAAGGGCCAAGTCAGTCCAAAGCAGAGATTTCTAATTTTGGGTGGATGCGATCAGAGTGAGTCTCCTCCTCCTGAATCCTCCAATTGGAGGTATTACAAGGCTGATTTTGTGGGATGGGACGTCTTGCTTTCATGGAAATGATGGGAGAATATGGCTTGTTATGTTTAAAAAAAAACAATAAAGTTTTTTTGTTTTTTTAAAAAAACCTTTCTGTCTGTTGCCCCATTGGAGGGAATATTTCGCACTTCCTGTCCCTGTGACACCTGTACATGAACTTGGGAGAGTAGTTGTCACCAGGTCAGGAAGAAAAAGAAAACATTATCGTATGTTCCAACCTTTCCTCACTCTACTAAACGTGTTCTGGTCCTGATAGGCAGTGAAGGGAAACCTCAATAGGAGGAGAGACCAGAATATAAAACTGATGCAAGCAGTGGGCCGGCTCTTGGGAGGAGTTATGCAAATATCAATAGGCCTTGATGGACGGGTGTCAATCTGGAGGAGTGGGCGTTCCTAGGCAGGATGTATTTGCACCACCTTAGAAAACGCCAACATGTGATGCTGAGCCTCCATGATTGAAAGGGGAGGGGTCAGGGGGAGGAACAAGCTAGATGATGTTGGACATCCTCCAGCCAGGAAATGAGGCGCTCTCTGTCTGTCTTGCTGCAGCTTCTAATGCACATTGTGAGAAGCTCTCCAATGGGGGAGCACGCGGCAACGCAGCAGAACAAATGGGAGACAGGAACAGAGGGTTGTCACCAGGAAGCAGGTGAGCAAAGACCTCCAGGACGGGATCACCAGGTATTATTTTATTGAAAGCTGCAAATTTAACAAAAAGATTGAAGGTGACTTTTAAAATCAAGGTGCTGAAGCTTCTATGAGATTTCAGTGATTGGATTACATCTAAGAGACCCCCAACAATCAATTACCATTGGGGGGGTCCACAGCCATCAGCCTACACCCTGTGGCAGTACATATGGACGGGTCTGATGAGGATCAGGGAGTGGCGGCAGTTGTGGTTGCACGTCGCCTGCCAATGTATCCCATTCTTCTTGTTGAGTAGAGCGTCGTAGCAGGAGTCATACCACCATCCTCCTCCATTTTTGTCGGCGCAGTTGTTATTGTGCTGCCGGTCGTTGTCATCGTCAAACGTGGAGAACCTCATGTTGTCGTGCACGTTTTTTTTAATGTCCGTCATGGAGTCACCGGCATCCCCTTGGTAGGTTCCTAGCCTCAGGCGGTACTTATCGGCGGCGGCGGTCAAGTAGAAGCTGTCGTAGTCGGCGTGCTTTGTCTCGTTCTCGGCGTCCACGAGGAGGAAGCGGACTTTGTTCCACTTCTGGGCGGTTAGGCGGTGGATGTAGTTGTTGCCGAGATAGTGGTCCGCCTCGATGTTGCCGAAGCCGTATTGGTAGGCCGTCCATGTTTCACTCCAGGTGATCGGCGTGTCGAAGGAGTTCCTCTGGATGACGGTCCACCCGCCGCAGTCGTACATCAAGCACTGGACCACCAGATAGGGGGACCCTTCGGGGCGTATCACGTAGACGCCACTTTTTCTGTGGCCGAGTTGATAAAGTTCTTCACAGTCCCTGGTGAAAAAGACTGAAGAAGGGCGAATGTAAGGAATTAATGGGCCACAAAGATATATTGGGGGGAATTTATCAAAAGTGGAGCAGAAAAATCCTGGAGCAGTTGCCCATGGCAACCAATCAACTTCTCTCTTCAGTTTGTTAAGTTAAGCTCTGAAAATGAAAGAGAGCAGCTGATTGGTTGCCATGGGCAACTGCTCCAGATTTTGTCTGCTCCAGTTTTGATAAATCCACCCTCCCCCACCACTGTATCTACAAATATTCATCTCCATGTTCAATGAGCAGGGCTTGAAAAATCCACTCGTCCTCTCTTCTGTGACGAGCCCCACGAGGAGCTTTTACATTCAAGTGTTCGGGCGTCTCTAGAGACACCCCATCGCTGTTACTAGCAACACCTGTCACTGCCGTTGCTGGTCCCGAGATCCGCTGTGCCCGTTGCGGCCGGGACCGGCACGGCTGCTCTGTGACAGGAGATCAAAGGGAGCTCAGTACACGATCTCCTCTCAGTCCCCGAATGCAGGAAGTGATGTATATTACATCACTTCCTGCATTCAGTGTCACTCTCCAGCTACAGAAGCTGAAGCAGATCTGTGCTTCATCAGCTTCTCTGGGGGTCCCCAGGTGACATTAGGGGGGTCTTGGAGACCCCTGATGTCTCCATATAGGGGACCTGTCACTGTCCATTTGTTATTACATAGGCTACTTCTTAGCATTTTTTTTTAAGACCCCCCCCCCCCATTGTGCCGCGCGTGTTACATACCACCGCGAACGTCGGAGTGAGAGCAATAATTTTAGGGCCATTAATCATCGATAACACCAAACTGATGAGCGGTTAAAGAGTCGCCTATGGCCAATTTTCAGTGAGGTGTTTTTTTGCAATTTTGCGGGCGCGCGCTATTTTAAGGCTTGACGTGTTTGGTGTCTATTTACCCGACATGACCTGATCTTTTATATTTTACCAAAAATACGGGTAAGAATAAATGTTTTATAACAGAACGTAGGGAAACTTTTTAATTTTTTTTTAGAAATTGACGGTACTTTTTTCATTATACAGTAAAAAATAACCCCAACCCCTCCCCCCAGTGGGGATTATATACCTCCAAAAGAAAGCTCTATCTGTCCCCCCAAAATGTTTTACATAAATTGCAAGTCTATAGTCCGGTCATGCTGACTGGTGACATTTTTGACTGACTGGTGAGACACCCTAAAATTTTCCAAGCCCTGTCAATGAGATATATCAAATTCTGCAATGTTTGGGTGTAGCCAGTGGCGTAACAATCGCCATAGCGACCCAGGCGGCCGCTATGGGGCCCGGGCACAGGGGGGCCCGGCCAGGGCATCCCTTTTGATGCAGTGTGGGTCGCTATGGCGTCTCGGGGTGCTGGCTGTCACCGATACAGCTCAGCAGCAGCTGTGAGGGAGAATGTTCCCCCCTCACAGCCGCGGCGGAGCTGTGTCAGTGACAGCCAGCAGATGCGGCAGAATAGGCCGGCTACACCGGCGTTTGCAGTACATCACTGGCCAGCGATCTAAGAGCAGGCGGGGCCAGTGATGTAAGAGGAGGCGGGGCCCGTCGATAGAAGGAGGCGGAGCCCGGGGACGGAAGAGAAGGCGGGGGCCTGGCGACCACGGAGGTGGACAGCGCTGACAGGGAAGAGGTGTGCAGCCCAACTGAGACCTTGCAGAGCCCACTATAGAAAGTCTATGGTGGGCTCTGCAACTGGCATAACTAGCAATCACGGGGCCCCATACAAAATGTTGCTATGGGGCCCTCTGATTTTTAGTTACGCCCCTGGGTGTAGCCTATATTTTATTGTTGTCATTTAGGTTAGGGAAAGCTTCAAGCGTCTCTAAACCCAACCACCAAAATGTCACATGTTGAATCTTATCGGCCCTTCGATGTGCTGGTTCCTTTCCTTAGTTTCCTCCGGTGATCCTGCCAGCAACTCGCATCCCACCCTGTGGTGACAACACTTTGCTCACTGTACTGTATCTATGGAGGAGCTACGATTGGATGTGAACCTCACCAGGCTGTGGAAAGCTGACATCTAACTAGCCGCCTCGGGCTACTACCCTCATCTCTGTGTAGCGTAGTAGGAAACCAGCTGCACTCCTTACCGGAATAATACTAAACCTGCAAAGCCGGTGGGTGCTCGTAGCGACCACGGACGGCACCGTGAACAGTGTAGAAATAGTAAAGGTTGTCACCAGCACACCAAAAGGATTTAGGCTCCATACACACAGCCGCGTATAGAGCCGTATAATTGCGTAGCGTATATATGCGCAAAAACGGAATGCAACAGAGATGCGTCCGGGCAGCGTATTTCTGCGCATATACGCGCGTAGATGCGTACAGCACATTAAAAATTTCATTACGAGTGATGCATTCTGGGATTATATATACGCATTGACGCGTATATACGCAATATACAATTTTGCTTGCGCTGTGTGTGAGTGAGGCCTGATAGCAAAAGTCCTTTAATGACAAATTGACATTCAGTACGAGTGCTTTTTGGGGGTCTCAAAAGTACCCCTTCATCAGGCTCAATCTGATCATGATGAAGGGGAACTTTTGAGACCCCCAAAAAGCACTCGTACTGAATGTCAATTTGTCATTAAAGGACTTTTGCTATAAATCCTTTTGGTGCGCTGGTGACAACCTTTTACTATTTCATCTCTGTGTGGTATCTCTGAGCTCCTGTTGGCTCATCAGATAAGGGTGGTAGATCTCTCACCTTTCTTCAGACGTAGCTCGTTATAGTTGATGGCGTCGGAGATCTCATGGACCATGTGAATATTTTCCACCAACGAATTCCCTTCACTGGGCTGCTTTGCTTCTTTTTCCGGCTTGGTGGGCACGGCCCCCAAAAGGAATAACCAGCCAACTGTCCACAGCTTCAGCCCCGACATCTCCGCTTCTGGGGGGGGGGGAAAGACATTATTAATTTGTTTCTTCACTGCTCTCAGGTCCTAGGGATCCCGTGACAAAATTCTTGTATCTATCACTCCTGGTACATTAGAAGGCTCAGAAAGTCGATCTGATGAATAATGATAACAGCCCCGAAAAGATACACAGAGAGTAAAAATTGTAGTGGCCTCGTACATTGGGGGGTCAATGGAAAAGAGACCCCTACTTTGATGGTCAGTGGAGAAGTGCCTCCATACAATGGTGGTCAGTGGAGAAGTGCCTCCATACAATGGTGGTCAGTGGAGAAGTGCCTCCATACAATGGTGGTCAGTGGAGAAGTGCCTCCATACAATGGTGGTCAGTGGAGAAGTGCCTCCATACAATGGTGGTCAGTGGAGAAGTGCCTCCATACAATGGTGGTCAGTGGAGAAGTGCCTCCATACAATGGTGGTCAGTGGAGAAGTGCCTCCATACAATGGTGGTCAGTGGAGAAGTGCCTCCATACAATGGTGGTCAGTGGAGAAGTGCCTCCATACAATGGTGGTCAGTGGAGAAGTGCCTCCATACAATGGTGGTCAGTGGAGAAAGATCCCTTCAGATTGCTGCTCAGTAGAGATAGACCCCCCTATACATGTTGGTGGCCAGAGGAGGAGGACACGCCTAAAATTGTTGGTAAGTAGAAAAGATTGCCCATGCAGGGCAGGTGGAGAAGTGTCCCTATGCAGTTGGGTCAGAGGGAGAAGGGTCTCCAAACATTTGTTGGTGGCCGCTGGAGAAAGGCACCCATACGTTAGTAGTCAGTGTCAGGAACCCATACGTTTTTTGGTTAGTGGAGAAGAAACTCATACCATTTAATGGTCAATGAAGAAGTGCTTACATACATTAGGGGTTAATGGAGAAGGGCCCTCATACATTCATGGTCAGCAAGAGAAGGGCCCTTTGGTCAGTATCAGAAGGGCCCTCTTCACATTGGTGGTAACTTGTAAGTAAAAGAAGGTCCCACTTACATTGGTGGTAACTAGACATGTGCACCAGCAAAAAAATTGTTTCGTTTAGTTTCACTTTGATTCGGATTTTTCATATTTAGTTTTTTGGATTCGGGTCCGCAATGGATTCGGACAAAATTTCGTTAGCAGCAAAGTGACATTAGACATTTTTTTTTTTTACAGTCTGCAGAAGATGAAAAAAAAAAAAGCCTGAGGTTCCCCCCCAATTCATACCAGACCCTTTAGGTCTAGTTTTAACTTGGGGGAGGGTCCCTCCTAACATTCCTACCAGACCTAAAGGGTCTGGTATGAATTGGGGGGGAACCTCACGCTTTTTTTTTTTGCTAACAAAATTTCGTCCAATAAACTAAATTTCGACCGGACTACTGCTAACGGATTTCGTGAATTCGGATTCGTTTGCATTCGTTTTAGCTGTAATTCGGAATTCGGATGCGTCCGAATTTCGATTCGAAACGAACCGAACGTGTCTAGTGGTAACTTGTAAGTAGAAGAAGGTCCCACTTACATTAGTGATTGGTAGATGTGCAGCCGCAAAAAATTTGTTTAGTTTAGTTTCGGATTTCGTTTATTTGGTATTTCCGAAATCGGGTGCTGTATGTGTTTCGTTTTGGATTTGGATCGGATTCGGAATTCGGAAGACTTTCCGAAATTTGGGGTTTTGCGCGAACAGACGAATGTTCGTACGCACGTACGTAGCAGAATTGGCACAGTTGACATTTCTGGTGGCTGCGCTCTAGTCTTCACTATTAAAGGAGAACTATGGGGTCAGTGTTTTTCCCCATAGTTCTCCTTAGGGTAACGGGAGGACACAAACTAGCGTCCTCCCGTTACCCTAAGCTCAGTATATAGGGAGCTGTATCTCATTGTATACTGAGACGCCGCAGCTGAAGTGGATCCTGACAATTATGTCTGGATCCGCCCAGCTGCGTGAGTGACAGCTGCCTCTGCCTATCTAGAGGCAGAGCCAGCTGTACCCGCCCCCGTCCGTTCCGCCAGTCAGCGCTGGCAGAGCGGGGAGGGGGGGAATGCAGAGAGCCGTGACAGGATTGAGAGGTGAGTGAACGCCGGTATGTGTTCGCTCACCTCCCGATCTACTGAGCCGACCTGCGACAGTGTCATTGTCACAGGTCGGCTAGAACTATGAGGTGAGTGAAAAGCCCTCACCTCATACTTCTCCTTTAAAGGGACATTAAAATACTTAATTATTTTTTTTATTCGTTTAAACGTTGACGGCGCACGCACAGGAACATGGAGCAATGTTTTGTTTTTTATCTTCGCATGCTATGAAATCCTCCTTTTTGTAGTCATTGTCGTAAATTTCTAATTTCGTTTTAGAATTTACTGAATGCAAAATTTCGGATCCGGAATTTCGGATTCGGATGCTTTCGGATGAATTCGGACATGGTACATTTCGGAAATTCGGATGCTCCGAATCCACGAATTTCCGTCCGAATTTCGATTCGGAACGAGACGAATCGCACATGTCTAGTGATTGGTGGGGGAATGTCCCCATTACAGTGGTGATTATTGGAAAAGGACCCTCCTGCATTGGTTGTCATGGTTCCCCTTGCATTGGTGGTCAGTGAAGTAAATGCCCCCTTGCAGACATTTAAAAAGATACTTGGAATCAGTGGTCAGTGACATTAAAGTAAAAAATCCCCCCCAATGCTGCTTTAAATGTAGCCTTAGTCGTAGCTTACCGTAACCACTATGACTAAGGTCCAGTTTGGGGGCTGAAACATGTAAGCATTTGTTTGTTTGCTGCTGTTATACCTTTTTGCAAATAAAGTACTGGATGGACGGATCCCCTTGCGAGTGCCGTTTTTTTTACCTATAGCTCAGTGAAGGCTCCGGTGGAAGCTCTACCAGGCACTGAGGTTCATGCAGCGGGATTGGAGACAACAGGATAGAGCTGCTCAATGTTTCTAAACTACCATAAGGTGAGATATGAGGGGGTGTCTGTGGATACACCTTGCTAGTATGATTTTAATTGAAAGCTAGACATTAAAATGTTACACTTTATGACATTACAGGAACTAGGGTTGCCACCTGTCCGGGATTCACCCGGACGGTCCGGGTTTTGAATGCTGTGTCCGGGTTTCATGGCAGCAGAAACCCGGACACAAGATGTCAGGCAGACAGGGGCAACCAAAATAAAGATAGGGGCTACTGGTCCCCCCC